ATCAGTTCTCTGTACATGCTGGGACCACTGTCCACCAATAGTTGCCTGCAGCTGCCTTTATCAGGGATAGGTGCTTCCCAAACACCATTGTCTTTTGTGTTTTGTTGTCATTGCTGAAAAGCCTACTGTCAATCTAATGGTGGTTCTATTGCTGATAATCCTTTTTTTTTTTTTAATCTCTCTTGGACTGTTTCTAAGATTGTCTCTTTGTTTCTAGTGCTGTGTAGCTTCACTGCATTATGTATAGGACTGGGGCTGGTTTTGTTTTCCTACTTAGGAGCGAGGGGCTTCTAGAACTGATTCATGCTTTTCAACACCTGTGTAAACTTCTCAACCACTATCAATTTTTAATATGGCTTCTGTCCTATTGTTTTATCCTTCTGAATTATTTTAAAAATAGCTTTATTGAAATATAACTCATACCATCTACACTAATAAAAGAGAAACGTGCAAATTGGCGTCACTCCGCTACGCCCACCAGCCAATCAGAGTGAATATGCAAATTACCCCGTCTTTGTTGATGGAGGTTAATTTGCATACGCAGGCGCAGAGCAAAGACAGAAGGCTCCAGCCGGAGTGAAGACTGAAGACTGAAAGACTGAAGACTGAAGAGGCTTGGCTTCTCCTCTGCGGCCGGAAGAAAGGTCTGGGTCCCGGGTGCCAGAGGAAAACCAGTGCCGGAGGAAAACTGGTGCCGGCAGCCTGGGGAAGGAAGGGTTATTGTGCGAATCTTCGTGCAACAGCCTCTAGTAATATATAATTTATATACCATAAAATTCACCTATATGAAGTATATAGTTCAATGATTTTAAATATATTGATAGAATAATGTAACCTTCACCATAATTTTAGAATATTTCATCACCCTCCCAAAGAACTCTTTTACCCAGTTAGTAGTCACTCCCATAGCCCCCTCCCCGCACCTGCCAGGACTAGGAAGCCCCTACTGTCTCTATAGATTTGCCTATTCTGGATACTGCCTATGAATGGAACCATACAATATGTAGTATTTTATGACTGGCTTCTTAAAATATAGCATACTATTTTAAATTTAGAACCCAGTAAGAGCAAGTTCAATTTCTTCTTCTTTAAATCTTCCTGTAACAATGAGCATACATTTTTTTAAGTTCACCTTTTCATTGAGAGTGCAGTCTTTTGAGGGATGTATCTTTTTTCAATGGTTTGAGTTCCAACACTCACACAAACTCTGCACATGAGCCTTGGCAAGCTTCTTCCCCCTCGGTGTCAACGCCTTCCCATCTGCAAAATGAAAGAGTTGAATGAGATGGCTGCCTAGGCCTTCCCTGGCAGTGCCAACATTCTAAGATTCTAGACTTCATATGACTCAGGCACTATCTGCAGAAAAGACATTTTATCATCATGTGTGTGGGAAACCCATTCTAAGAGTGTCGTCTGGCGAAGTGATCCTGAAATACCCAGTTGTCTTGGGCTATGGCTGACAGAACATTTCTCCAAGGCTGGGTCCTCTTGGCATTCTCTTCACCTGCAGCTGAGACCTACACATCGGCCAGTTCACGAGCAACAGGTCCTTTGATTCCCATAGGAAGCTTGGTTTCCCTTCATCACTTCCTAATAGCTCCCTTTGGAAACTGGCAAACTCAGCAGTTACCACAAGAGTGTGGATGCCAACCATGACAAAGGCTTTATTTCCAGAATAACAAGCTCAATGGCAATTTAATGATTATGTTGGAATAGGAGCCTTACCCGCGTCCCTTTACAGCTCTTTATTGTTTTAGAAGACTTGCAAGAATTTCCTTTTGGAATTTTTAATGTTAATTTTATGTCTTTTTCTTGCACAGAAGTAATATGTTTTTAAAAAATTTGGAGGAGACAAAAAAGAGTAGAGAAGAAAAAGAAAGCATTCATAATCCTACCATTCAAAAACATGCAGTGTTATCATTGTAGTGTGGTTCTTTTTTACCTCTCAATTGTCCTCATGGTTACAATCATTTTAATTTTATTATAACTATTTGTTTACCTTATTTTGGGTCAGTGTATTGCTCTTGAGTAGGGTTATCATCATTTGAACAGTTGTGATTCTAAGTTTCTCCAAACAGTGGGATATAATTCTGTATCTGATGGGATATAATTGTATCATCAATCCTAATATATAAAAAGCCAGGGGCCATCATGACCAAAACAACTGGACAGACAACCTAACAGTAGGCTGCGTGGGGCGACAAGGCCAGTGCGGGGGGGGGGGGGGCAGTTGGAGGTGTCCAGGCTGTCAGGGGGGCAGTAAGGGGCAATCAGGCAGGCAGGCAGGTGAGCAGTTAGGAGCTAGTGGTCCCGGACTATGAGAGGGATGTCTGACTGCCAGCAGTCAGACATCTCCTAAGGGGTCCCAGATTAGAGAGGGTACAGGCTGGGCTGAGGGGACCTCCCCCCCCCCATTCCCTGTGCATGATTTTCATGCACCGGGCCTCTAGTATAAAAATAAAAATTGAAATCAGTCCATAAAGTACTTCAATATTGCTGAATTCTATCACCTCCACATTCACCCTTCATTCTTCTTCAACTAAGTATATCTATGGTGGACAAGATTTTCTGCCCTCTCCCCCTCACTGCCTTTAATTTCTCTCCCTAGGACCAATGCAGATCGGATTGGTTGTGAAATTATTGAACACTTCTGAAGCATGGTGATGGGGGCTGGGACTTCAAGGGGTCAGCAGATTTGGGTTCAAATGATAAGACCCTAAGCAAGCCATTTCTCCATCCTGTGCCCCTGTTTCCTCATTTGTACAGTGAGAGACTTGAATGAGATAATCATTAAGATCCTTACCATCACACTTGTTCCAAGATGTGCCCTCTGTCTTTTGATAATTTTGGCATTTGAGCTCTACCTTAAGAGGTGGAAAGAGGAAAGGAAGAGCAAAGCAGTCTGGTTGCTGATCTGCAGCTGTAGCTGAGCGGCTTGGGCTCTGCTCGAGCACCTTTATTTGAGTTCTGCTGTGTCCCCTGCTAGGACGATGGTAAGGAGCCCCTCTTCTCCCTGGGCAGTATATCTAGGCACACAACTGAATTCTTTCCTCATCACCTCCCTTTAGGATATTAAGTACATCTCACCTTATGCCTTGCAACAAAATAGAAGTTACAGGCATGGACAGTTCCAAGTGCTTCTGCTTCTTGGGTAATTGTTCCTACATCACCAACTATTATAAATCATCAGATCCAAACAAGACTGACAGCCTTGAAGCTGCTTAAAGTACATTAATTATGGTAAGAAAGTCTGTATGGGTAAGAGCAAAGCTCACAAGCTTTATAATCAGGTGTACAAACTGACTGTGGCAGGATTTCTCTAAACAATGAACATCTCAGCTCAGGGTGTTTAAAGTCTCAGTTTACCAAAGTTCAGTGTGGGTGTTATTTTGAAGAGCACAGGTGTGGTATAGGAAAGGTCCTGGCAACTTGCTGGTCAACTTATCCAAGACCCTCTCCATGGTTCTGATCTTACGGGGCCCCTTGCCACACTAAGAGTTTTGACCGTCAGCTCCACTTTGATGCTTTCTCCTCCTTGACCTTCTGTCGTGCCATGAACCGGCTCTCTTCATGTTCTCTCTCCAGTTCTCCATTTCATCCTGCTCTCTGGTTGGGGAGTTTTCCAAAGTTTGGTCCTCAGCCCCTTGTTCTTCTCTTTGTGGACTCTCTCCCTGGGCTTATTTCTCTAGCACTCATATCTGCACTGGGATTATATCTGTCAGGAATTCTAGTCAACTCCAAGGACCTGCTGAACCTTTCCCTGTTCCTTCAAATGCAGCTTATCAAGAATGAAACTACATCACTTCTCTCCTTAGAACCTTCAATGGCTCCCCTTTCCCTTTAAGATAAAGCCCAAACTCAAGCACCTTCATATAAGGGCCCTCCATACCTTCAGGGAACTCATCTAGAGAGAGAGGTAGACATGAATCATGACAACGACATGTTCAAGGTGAGATGAGAGCTTGGGAAGGAGGAAGAGAGGATCTGTCAGAATTAGGAAAGGAGGTAGGTCATTTGTACCTATGCAGCAGGGGAGGATGGAAAGAGTCTGCTTCTCCTCCACCCTCATCTGTCACTCTCTGGCTCACACGGTCCTTACTGAGCTTCTCCCAGTTCCTCTGATGCAGAACTTCCCAACTTACTGAGGTCTGAAGAAGTTAGAGAAGGAGGTAGTTGACTTATTTAGGAAGCATAGTATGATGGAAAGAGGAGAGATCCGCGCTGGCATCCTGGCTTCACAACATATTAACTCCTACCCTCTATGCCTTGTTTTGCCCATCTGTAAAATGGGTATAATACCACTCATCCTTGAAGGCTCATGGTGAGGATTGAATGAGCTCATGTTTCTGAAAAGTGCCTAGCACCACCTTGGACCTATGTAGGTGCCCAACAAATGCTAGCTCCATCTGACCACAGCCCTGGTCTGACCCTCCATTCCTCACTGTTCCCTGTCCGAACTATGATCCTGGTGAACATCTGTTATTTGGTTGATTGACATTATCACAGATATAGGTGATGCCCGCATATCAGGCAACGGCCACTGGGAACCAGGCAGTTTGAATGGTTCCAGAGGGATTTATTCTTCTGAGAACATGGGTTTAGAAGCAAGTGCTGGAAATTTGACCTAGCCAAGGACACACAGGCAGGAGCTAAGTTTTTCTGTCATAGCGAGCAGAGCCAGAGGCTTGCCAAGGAGTCAGGGCTGGGAAGCCAGGAAGCAAAGGAACGACAGTATTCCTGGCCTTGCCACGCCCAGTAATAAAGGCCAGGGCGTTCGCGGGGCCAGTGCTTTGAAGCCACACAGTGAGGCTCTTACTTCATCGACGCTCAGCATGGACGAGGAGTCCTGAGGTAGGGAGAAGCCCCAGTAAAGACTTTTATGAGGTGAGGGACTCTTCTGAGGAAACATAACAAACCAAGGGGAAGGGCTTTTGACCATCGCCAAGTAAGTAGGAATAAAAGGGCTGCCTTCCATGTCCACACCCTCTGCGGAAGGGGTATAAAGGCTCCCAGAACTAGGAGACCCACACGCTCCTTGGAGAACTGGGACTCTGTCTTCAGCCGGCGCCTCGCTCCCTCCCAGCACCATGCCTTACAACTGCTACCTGCCCAACCTGAGCTGCCGCTCCAGCTGCCCCGCCCGGCCCTGTGTGGCCCCCAGCTGCCACAGCACCCCCCTGCCCGGGGCCAGCAACATCCCCGCCAACGTGAGCAACTGCGGCTGGTTCTGCGAGGGCTCCTTCAATGGCAGCGAGAAGGAGACCATGCAGTTCCTGAACGACCGCCTGGCCAGCTACCTGGAGAAGGTGCGGCAGCTGGAGCGGGAGAACGCGGAGCTGGAGAGCCTCATCCAGGAGCGCTGCCAGCCCCAGGAGCCCCTGATGTGCCCCAGCTACCAGTCCTACTTCCGGACCATCGAGGAGCTGCAGCAGAAGGTGAGGGGTGGGCACCGCACTGCCCTGGCAGGACGCTGTAGGGAGGGAATGTGAGCTCTGATTCAGAGATAAGACGGGCTCTTGGGGGGAATTAAAACACAGGGGTTCAAGTCTGGCTTTTCCATTTTGTTTCCTGGAGGCCCATGTTCTTCTAGGCTCAGGACTGTTAGGTCTGAACATTTGCATAGTGTTAGTCTTTGTGGAGGTAGCAGCACTTTGCATAAATACGCTGTAATTAAAAGCTGCTGTGCATTTGCCAAGCTCCGGAATTACTACCCTGGGGTGAGAGAAAAGACTGGGCCCGAGAACCTTCGGTAAAGCGGAACCTTCTGTAAAGACCAGACCATTTCTCTCTCTCGCATCTGCACTTTTGATGGCTCTGACCTCTTACTACTATCCTCTGTGGGTCCCTAATCTCTGTGACATCATTGTCCTGACCTAGATGCCTCTGGGTTTCTCCTGGTTGTACTGTCCAGTGAGGGCATACAATGGTTGGCTAGAACCAGAAAGCTTGAAAACTACCTACCAGGACATGGTGCCAAGCCATCCTGGGTAGCCGGGAGGGCATGGCTGCTTTCCTGATCCATCCCATGTTCCCAGCTGCAAGTTTATTTCCTTACTAGAGGCCCGGTGCATGAAATTCGTGCACTCAGTGTGTGTGTGTGGGGGGTGTCCCTCAGCCCAGACTGCACCCTCTTGCAGATCGGGAGCCCTCAGAGGATGTCCGACTGATGGCTTAGGGGAGCAGGCCTAAGCCGTCAGCCGGACATCCTTAGCGCTGCCATGGAGTCTCCCACCACCTCTGCTGTGCTAGCCAGCCATGAGCCTGGCTTCTGGCTGAGTGGTGCTCCCCCTGTGGGAGCACACTGACCACCAGGGGACAGCTCCTGCATTGAGCATCTGCCCCCTGGTGGTCAGAGTGTGTCATAGCAACCAGTCATTCTGCAGTTCAATTTGCATATTAGCCTTTTATTATATAGGAAAATGTCTTATGGGCAAGGCCTCTAATTCAAATTTTTTTAGGTAGTTAAAGGGAGGGGCAGAATTTACACTTGAGCCTGAAGCTAAAATTGCCCTTAGCTCAAAAATCTGCATACCACTGAGACATATTGGTGAGGCTCATTCCGAACCCCCACACTGTTCTATTGTGTGTATCAGTATTGGGAACCATCTTTTCTCTTTAGTGAAAGGAACCTTTTGTTATGTTACAATGACTATACCTCATGAGTTGTGTTTTGGCTTCAAGCCTGTACCCAGTATTCATGCAGCAACTTCAGCTCTTCTGTTCAATACTTACCTGGCATATCTTTTATTTTCTCTAAATCTTTCTAGATTTTTATGTATTATACAGGAATAGCCGTTTTTCTCTCTTGGCCTGATCACAGCCCCCTGGGCAGTCAGTGCTGGGTCGAAGAGGCACCCACAGTGAGGCAGTCAATGCTGTGTTGCCACGGCGACCCAGCACGACTGCAGGACTGACTCCCGATGTTTGGTCGAGCTTTCGGTCATTTTGGACGTTATATATATATATATATATATCTTCCCCGTTGGATTGGGAGTTTCTTGAGGGCAGGATCTTGTGCTTACTCATTTTTGTATCCTCAGCTCTTAGAACCATGCCAGACATATAGTACGTTTTAAAAAATAAATGTTACTTATTATCAACTTCTCAGTACTGCTTATTAGGAAAGAAAAAGAAAGATAATTTATCTACTGATACTTCTCTGGGTGTTCTTTTCAAATTAAATTTCTCAAATAGTTATTGAGCCCAGAGATAGCACTTAATAGTCTTATACAAGATCTGCTAGGGTGCTCCTTCCAGATAGATAATTAGTAGGGACTGCCGCTGCTGAAAGTAACCCAGCTCACTCCAGCATGTGTTGGGTCTTCCAGATCCTGTGCAGCAAGTCGGAGAATGCCCGGCTGGTGGTGCAGATCGACAACGCCAAGCTGGCCTCAGACGACTTCAGGACCAAGTGAGTGGCAAGCGGGGTGCTGCCTTCTCTCTGTCCTCTCCGTGCCCTTAGCCTGTGCTCAACTCTGACGAACATCAACAGAGCGTTTCCCTGCGTGTGTTCCCCAAGGGCTCGAGGCTCACCAGAGCTCAGAGACCTCTTTTCCGGATTCACCTCCTGCTTCTCTGCAGAACATCCCCCAACCTAGTGCTGGAGCCTGCTCCCCAATGCTCTCCTCTGAAAAGAAGTCCATCGGGAGACTACGGGAGATGTATTAATTTTGGACATCTCACCGTTTTCATGGGCTTTTATCCCTTTAAGTCCACTGGCTCTTTATTTATTAAAAATAATTACAGCCTAGCTGGCGTGGCTCGGTGGTTGAGGGTCGACCTATGAACCAGGAGGTAGGTCACAGTTCAATTCCCGGTCAGGGCATATGTTTGAGTTGCAGGCTCGATCAATGATACTCTCTCATCATTGATGTTTCTTTCTCTCCCTCTCCCTTCCTCTCTGAAATCAATAAAAATATACTTTAAAAAATAGTCACCAGGGAATTTTCCTCTAGGAGCTACTGCTCGGTGTTAAAAACCTAAATGAAGGAGATGGTTGTACGAACACAAGCCCCAACTCCCAGTTGTCTGACAAACCAAACCAGAGTCTAGGTCAGGTCTGCATCTGATGCTCCTGTTACGTATCGCAGGTATGAGACGGAGATGGGCCTGCGGCAGCTGGTGGAATCGGACATAAACAGCCTGCGCAGGATCCTGGACGAGCTGACCCTGTGCAAGTCTGACCTGGAGGCCCAGGTGGAGTCCCTGAAGGAGGAGCTTCTCTGCCTCAAGCAGAACCACGAGCAGGTGAGGTTTCCCAAGGAGCAACGGGCTTGAACTTGCCACGGCCTGTTTCCAACCCCATGGGGTGTGGGAGAGGCTCAGCAAGCTGGGGAACGTGTTTTCCAAACAAAAAGGGGTTTATCGAGAATGAGTAACCTAAACATCCCTGATAGCAGATTAGGAGTTTTCTGCCGGAGGCAGGAATGAGAGTGAAGGAAGCTGGCGGGCCCAATAATGAAAGGCCGGCAACCAGGCAGTCCCCAAGTCAGAGCACGTCCGCGGGGGTCTTTTATCCAAATTCTCCACTTAGCAACTGGAGAGGCCAGGATGAGGCCTCTCGACACAGCAGAGAGGGCTGAGCTGGAAACGAAGCCCCTTTCTTTCTTCCTTCTCGTTCAGAGCACTTTCTGCTGGACAGGAAACACTGAGAAAAATGCTCACCACCACTGCTCGGTTGCACAATAAAGAAAACTGGTATTACGTGCAAACCTTAAATTCCCAAACAATGTAAATGGTGATAGTTGATATTACTCAAGTGCATGTTGGGTGCCAAATGTTGTACCAAGTGCTTTTGAACTCCAGAGGTAGAAATTGGGGCATTTAGAAGCTTCTAGAAGCCATATAGTAAGGGGTAGAGGTGAGACCCAACTCAAAGCTGCCTGACGTGCACCAAAGCCCAAGCACCACACAATGTTGGCTCAGTGAGATCAGCAGTGAAATGAAGAGACACTGATTTCCTCCAGCAAGATCTATGCTGGTGGAACCAACAAATCACCAGTTATGCGACGATGGCAGATTTTGAAGTAAGCAGTCTTTAATTCATCTTTGGCCAGACTCTACCCTTTTCATTACCCATGGTTAAGAATCCAACATAAGAGGCTTTCTGGTATACCAGCAAAATCCCTGAACTTGGTGTTTGGGGACCCACAGTGCAAACTGTGGTGCATTACACTTCACCTTCCACATGAGGAGTGCTACACTGCACACGAGGCTGGAAAGAGGTCATGGACTTGAAAGCATTTTGTATAGTGAAATACACAGATTAGTCATGAATATAGAACCCAGTTAATGAGAGGATCAGAAGGAACTGAGCTGTTGAAAGCTTACGAATGATCACAAGTTGAATTGCATTCTCAGAGGAGAGGATCAGGATCCTTTAATTTTTTAAATCATTAAAATGTAATAAATACTGTTCCAATATTTTAAATCTCCATCAGGAAGTCAACACCCTGCGTTGCCAGATTGGAGACCGCCTCAACGTGGAGGTGGACGCTGCCCCCACCGTGGACCTGAACCGCGTGCTCAACGAGACCAGGTGCCAGTATGAGGCCCTGGTGGAGACCAACCGCAGGGACGTGGAGGAATGGTACACCAACCAGGTGGGCATCTCAGCACATGGCCACCCAGCACCTTGGGACCCTTAAGGCAGGGTCTGAGCCTGTCTCTCACCTTTGGTGTTTCAGACCCAGGAGCTGAACAAGCAGGTGGTGTCCAGCTCAGAGCAGCTGCAGACCTGCCAGGCGGAGATCATTGAGCTGAGACGCACAGTCAACGCCCTGGAGATAGAGCTGCAGGCCCAGCACAACCTGGTGGGTACTGTCCAGACCTGCTGGTGAGAAAGCAGGGGAATCAGAGCCACAGGGCAGACCTTTGGGTCACAGTCTCTTTAACTCTCTTTTTTTTAAAAAAAAAATAAAATGTTTTTTTGATTTCAGAAAGGAAGGGAGAGGGAGAGAGAGAGAGAGAAACATCAATGATGAGAGAGAATCATTGATCGGCTGCCTCCTGCATGCCCCCTAATGGGGATTAAGCCTGCCACCCAGGCATGTGCCTTGACTGTGACCTTCTGGTTCATAAGTCGATACTTAACTACTGAGCAATCCTGGCTGGGTGTCTCTTTAACTGTGGAAGCTTGTGACTTCTATGGAACCCTATGGAGGGACATGCGAAAGGAGCAGCTCTGTGACATTCTTCCTCTTCCCCACACAGAGGGACTCACTGGAGAACACGCTGACGGAAACAGAGGCCCGCTACAGCTCCCAGCTGTCCCAGGTGCAGTGCATGATCACCAACGTGGAGTCCCAGCTGGCCGAGATCAGGGGTGACCTGGAGCGGCAGAACCAGGAGTACCAGGTGCTGCTGGACGTCCGGGCCCGGCTGGAGTGTGAGATCAACACGTACCGGGGCCTGCTGGAGAGCGAGGACTGCAAGTGAGTATGAAGCTAGTTATACTTTCCTTGAGAGCACACGAGATTGTGGGGGTTGAGGGCTCTTCTTGATGGAAATCATTTTATAACTTCAAGAGTTTGGTTGGCAACAAAGGAAGAAAGATATAAACAAAGTGTGTTTAGTATCTTCCAGTTTCTTCAGCTCATGTCACCCTAACTTGCCCCAATGGTTTTGTCTCCAGTCTTCCCTGCAACCCATGTGCTACAACCAATGCATGTGACAAGCCCATTGGACCCTGTGTCTCCAATCCTTGTGGCCCGCGTGTTCGGTGTGGGCCTTGCAGTACCTTTGTGTGCTAGAGGCCCTGGTGCCAGGAGGAGGAGAAGGGCTCCGAAGTCACATCTCAACTCTACTTGGTTCAAACATCTCCAACAGTGACCACTTTGGATAAAGGAAGAAACTTCTCTTGCACCAGCTTCCAGGGTTCACCTCTAGGCTTCTGATGAAATTTCTGGCTTGATTCTTTCCTATAAGACAGCGTTTCTCAACCTGTGGGTCGCGACCCCTTTGGCAGTCGAATGACCCTTTCACAGGGGTCGCCTAAGACCATCCTGCATATCAGATATTTACATTACAATTCATAACAGTAGCAACATTACAGTTATGAAGTAGCAACGAAAATAATTTTATGGTTGGGTCACAACATGAGGAACTGTATTTAAAAGGCCAGAAGGTTGAGAACCACTGCTATAAGAGATGGCAGAGTCACCTTACTGTCTCCATCTTCTGAGACACATAGGGAAATCTATAACAGGGTCAAGTAATACCTATTATCACAGTGACATTTACATAATGTGTTGTGCTTTCACAGGTACTCATCTAGATGTGATTGTAAAATAATTTCATTAAATGTGATATTGCTGATGGGCACACTATGAAGCTAAACATAATTGGGAGACGTTTTCCTTGTCACTCTTTTGGTCTTTGGAGATGCAAGAAAAGATGCCTTGTTAACCTCCTAATAAACTTTTAATCTGGCACAAAAGTGATAACTGTCCTTTTCGTTCATCAATTCCAAAGTTGGGCGTCTTGTATAAATAACAAGTAACCGGTGTTCTTCCAACAAATGAAGGGATCATTCACTCTAATATATGGTCTGTGACTTCTACTTAAAGGAAAAGTCTCCACTAGACACACCCACTCATTCTTGTGGATTTCAGGTTTGGGAAGAAGGTGGTGGGAAAGGAATGGCAAATCCATGAGGGTCTCTGCAAACGTTTTCTGTCAAGCTCTTCAGAGGGAACATGCGAGCGAATCACAGAAACAGGTCAACAACAGAAGTGGATCTTGAGAGGAAGTCTGTGCCTCTTGGCAACGTGAAATATTGTAACCTGGAGAGAACTAGGAAAAATATACGCAGCCAACAATCATCTTCTCCAACTCCATCTCCGCATGTTGGACAGGTTTTTGTCCACAGCCATCAAAATCAAGCAGTGACTATTTCTGTTCCTGAAAATTTCATAGTTATGAACACATGCAGAAATATATTGTACACAGAACCAGACTTTTAAGTCAATACATTACAAGTCACTAAACCAAAATGTTAAAAAAGATTCCTTTTCAATCACATTCTCTCACCAAAATATTATTAATGTTAACATTATCTTTCATATTATTGAATTACAATATATTTTGGGAGTGCCAATGTTTATGTCTACTTTATAATAAGAACTAATATAATTTTTAAAGCTTTATCACAGAGGACTTAGTCCTTTAAAATTTTTTATTAGTCATGTCTGGTGCCTATTTAACAACATGCATAATGTTTTACAGATGTAGTATATATACATATTATAAAATGCATAAAAATAAGTAAATATATTATAGGTTTGGACTCAAAATTTTTTTAGTAGGGGAATAAAAAGAAATATGGTGAAACCCAGTAGATTGGTGAGCCCTGTTTCCCCATAACCCCTTGAAAAATTGGGATATGACATTTCAACCTGAAATAAAGGTGTGAGTGGAAATTCTTTGGAACACACTTGTCTTATTGGAGAGTTGCAAGTCAGACAGTTTTGTTTCGGTCACAAAGATCCTTTTCCCAGTGAGAAGATTGATCGCCCTCACCACTGTGGGAGGGGATCATTCAGTCACTGAGGGCCCCATAGAGAGCAAAAAAGCAGTGGATTCGCTTCCTTTGCCTGAGCTGGACCTTCATCCTCCCCTGCCCTTGGACATCGTGCCCCTGGTTCTCTGGTTTTCAGGATCAGACAGCATCACACCACCAGCTTTCCTGGTTCTCTGGCTTGCAGATGGCAGATCAGGGGGCTACTTAGTCTCATAATCACAGGAGCCAGGTTCCATCATACATCTCATCACATACGTATATCTCCTATTGGTTCTATCTCACTGAAGAACCCCAATACATGGATAGAGAGTGCCAAGATGGCAGGTAATGGGGTTTGTGGTGGCATGAATGTCCCAAACATAAAATACAGGCCTGGGCAGCTTCTCCTGGGAATAGGAGACTGGAATGGAGACAAGTGTGCATTCAACATGGACCATCTTTTCTGGTTCTCACTCTTCCCTGGCTTCTGCAAACCTGGAGGTAGGTATTGAATTAAATTTGCCTTCAGGGTCAGCTCAGAAGGTTTCTCTCTTCCTTCCTTCAACTTCCTTTGAATAACCCCCTTAGTTTCTTGTTTATGGGAGTGAGGGAGGAAAAGAGAGATGAGAGAGAGAGAGAGAGAGAGAGAGAGAGAGAGAGAGAGAGAGAGAGAGGAGGGAGAGAGAGAAGCAAAGCATAGAGTGAGAATGTATTGTATGGTTCAGTTAAAGGTTTATTAGTAAACCTCAGGAAATAGCTGATACCAGACACATCTTGGTTTTGTTGTTGAGGAGAAAGGAGAGGGAAGAGGCAGAGGACAATGACTATAGAACATTAGCATCCCACAGATAAGGGAAAGGATTGCCTAGGAGAAGAGAGAGACTGTGCATCAATAACTCTTATCCCCATGCTCTTCTTACAAGAGCTGGTTTTCCTGTTGACATAGATCCTTCCCTCAAACCTGGGCCGATTTGCGGCTGCAGAGGAAGCGACACTCTGTGACTTCTGAGGATCATTCATGAAAGGACAAGCAGCTTCCACCAGGTTCTCCTGGGATGCTTGAGACCCAGACACTGAGCCCTGAGGAAGCCCACACAGTCTTAACGCCTCTCCAGAGGACACACATCATAGAGCACCAACAGGTCATCTGCTGTGTCTTTTCAGAATGTCTGACCCACAGAATCCATGAGCAGAATAACATGTTTGTTGATTTACAGCACTATATTTGGGGTATTTGTTACACAGCAGTAGAGACAAGAGCAGGGACTCTCTCTGGGACCTCTGGTTTGTCTTTTCTGTGTGTTGGAACCAAGTGAAAGCAGCAGACATTACATCTCTATTTTCCAGCACCCACACAATTCTATGGGCATCTAAACAGGGCTGAGTTTCTTTTGTCAGCTGTATTTTTAAAGACCACCCCTGCAGATATACTCCAGCTTGTCATTTATTCCTTTAAAGCAGTGGTTGCCAACCTTTCGGACCTCATGGACCACCAGTGGTCCGTGGACCACTGGTTGGTGACTGCTGCTTTAAAGATAGAAACATAATATAATACTATAGGCCTAATGCATGAAAATTCATGCATTGGAGGAGGGGTCCCTCAGCCCGGCCTGCCCCCTGTCACAGTCCGGGAGCCCTCAGGGGCGCAAGGTGACCCGGCGATCAGGGGAAGGCGACGCACCATCACACCTCTGCTGCTGCCACTGCTGGCAGTGCAAGCCTCGGCCGACCTTGGTTACCTGAGCCTCGGGCATCCCTGGGCGGCCGGGCAGCCACCATCCAAGGCTTGCCTGTGCCTCGGGCTGGGACTGGGGGTCTCCAGAGGCAGGCACGCAGCAAGTCTGGGCCTCCCCCCAGGTCGGCCTGGCCTTGCCGCGTGCCTGCCGCCCCGGCAGGGCTGAGGGGACTGGTCACCGCCATCTTGTGGCTGTGGATGCTGCCATCTTTTGAGGGTGTGGCAGCCAATTAGCATATTCCCTCCTTATCGGCTGTGGGTGCCACCATCTTTGCGATGGTGTGAGGGTAAATTAGCATATTCCCTCTTTATTAGATAGGATGTGTTTGATAAATTCCAGTATCTGAAGTCTCTGTGCTTTGTTTATGCTCTGTTGTTTCTACTGGCTCTCACTCATGGTGCCTTGTTTCCTTGTGTGCTTAGTCATGAGTGACTGTGAGTTGTTCATTGCATCAGTCATGACAGGCAAAGTTACAATTACCACAGTAACAACTCCCAGGTTTCCCAAATCTCAGCACAACAAGAGTGTATGTCTTGTGCTCTAATTCCACCACCGGCCATGAGGAGGCTCCAATCATCATGCTTACTCAAGAGGCCAGGCTGACAATACCTCCGACTCTAGCTACACTTGCACAGATCTGCTTGGGAGGATGGCCCATTCTGCAATGACTCATAAGCTTCGGTCTTCAGTGAATAACATTCACATGTTATTAACCAAAGGAAGTCACTTAGTCATGCCAACTTCAAAGGAGGTAAGAAGAGCATTCCTGCCATATTTGTGAAAGGCAGAGAGAGAAACATGTGGTGACCAACACTAATGATTACCACCTTCATTTTCCTTGGAATATTATTTGTGGGACTTCGTTGAGGTAGGATGATGTTGTGTGTTCCTCCAGAAAAGAGTGGCATTTGCTCCTGCCACTGCACTCCGGCACTACCGGTTAGAGACCTCTTTAAATTCATTGCCTGAATTTTTTGGAATCACGCAGGTGATGTGCAAGACCAGTGCCCTGCAGTAGGTGTGGGTGGGCTAAGATTATATATGGCTCATCATTACCCCAAGGGTGTGGCCCTTTGGGGTCCCAGCCTTACAGAGGGGTGGATCTCCTAGAGGGTCTCCACTATGGGTGGGACCTGGACTTTATTTTCTGTTTCTGTAATTCAAGTTTGTCAAATTCAGCAAATGTCCTTGAGGGAAAAGCAATTATAGTGCTCAGTCCACCTCTCTGAGCACCTACCAATTACTTAGTTCTTTGATAATTTCTTTGCAGTTTGTACTATCTTCTCAGTTCTTTGATGCCTTAAGAAGGCTCAAATTAAAAAAAAAAAAAAAAAAAAGGAAAAACAGCATTTTTAGCTATTTTCATGATGCAGGTTAATTCCAACAACCAAGCCTGCCATGTCATCTGAAACAGAATCTCGAGCTGTACTGTCCAACTCAGAAGCCACTGGCTACATGTGGCTATTCAATGAAAATATATGAACATTAAATACAGTGAAAAACCCGGTTTCTCCATCACATCGGCCACATTTCCAGTGCTCAGTGGTCATGTGTGTCCAGTGGACCCCATGTTGGTGGAGCAGACATGGACATTTCCATTATGGCAGCAGGTCCTACAGAACAGTGCTGATTCCAGACCCGACTGAGCAAAGCAGAGACTGAGAGCGAGAGGGGTGAGTGAGGAACGGCACCAGGGACTCCATTCTCTTCCAGTTGACACTTTTTGACTGCATCGCTGACGAGGGGTCATCTCACATTCCGTTATGATTTTATTTAGCCATTCATTTGTAACTATGTATGAGTGGCTACCATCCGGTAACCATGCATGTAAACTGGTGAATAAATCAGCTATGGCCTCTGTGCTTGTGAAACTCGCAATCACTTGACTATATCTTACTCTAAGACTTACCTGAAGACAAAGAGGCAGTTTCCTCTGGTTGCCTCAAGAAACACAGACACAGAGGAAGGAGGCTGGGTTTCAGAAGCAGACATATCTGGGTTCAAATCCAAGCCCTGCATCTTCTAGTTAAAGTAGTTGACCTCCATGAGCCTTGGTTTTCTCAAGATGAGGATAATACTTATTGTGTATAGCTGTCCTGGATATGAAGCAAGAAAACACATAGAAAATGCTTAGTGCAGTACCTGGCACCATTGGAGGGGCTGATAATGTGCCCCCTTTGCCAAGAGATGGTTGACTGGACACACGATTTAAATCAGTGCCATCTATAATAATAAAAGTATAATATGCAAATGGATTGAATGGCCGAACAGCAGAACGACCATCCGGACTTCCTTCCAGATGACCTTCCAGGCAACCTCCTGGACAAAGCCGGGGCTGCAAGGGTCGAGATGGCTGGGGCTGTGAAAGGCCTACCCTTGCACGAATTTTGTGCATCGGGCCTCTAGTGTAATAAGCTTCTCACGTACACCAAGTTTTTGTTGCGTTCCTTCTGGTGAAGCCAGATCAGGACTTATTTTGTGATTGCCTCTAAAAGAACCACCGGGAACTACATGTGAAATGTCACAGATGGACACTAGAGGCCGCCAGAATAGATTCCATGCCTAGGTTTCTAATGACTCCTGCGGTACCTCCTCACCTTGTTCTTTATTGCACACCAATCATTAATTTAATAGGCACTTGAGTCCCCCAATTAGGAATACCAGGACATTTTTGTAAAGAAGTATCTGCCACACCTCAAAATAAATTCCTCATGGAGAACAGCATTATGCATAAAAAAATGCAACTATAAAGACTAAAAGCTAATCATTGTCTGGATTAAAGAAGATTCAAAGCATAAAAGTAGCAGGAAAAAATACAGTAGATGCTCTTATATAAAAATAAAATTCTAACCTAGCTGGTTTGGCTCAGTGGATAGAGTGTTCGCCTGCAGACTGAAGGGTTCCGAGTTCGATTCCAGTCAAGGGCACATGTCTGGGTTGTGGGCTCGATCCTCAGTGGGTGGTGTGCAGGAGGCAGCCGATCAATGATTCTCTCTCATCATTGATGTTTCTACCTCTCTCTCCCCTCCCTTCCTCCCTAAAATCAATAAAAATATATTTTTTTTAAAAAAAAAGAAAATTCTATGCATAAAAATATCATAGGCACAATTAGAAAGAAATGATACCCTGGCACAAATTTTGCAACATCTGTGAGTGTCAGAAAGGAAAGTTAATGTGTAGCATAAAATAAGCTCTTATAAATAAACTAGGAAAGATGAATAACCTAATAGAAAAATGGGCATGAATAGATAATTCCCAAAAGAAGAAATAAAAGTGGCCTATGAAATAAATGCACTAATAATGAAATAAGTACAAATAAATACGACAAAGAGATTTCATGATTGGACTATGAATCTTGACAAATCTCTTGAGAAAGAAATAAGTCAGACAGAAAACGTCAAGGACCACTTGATTTTACTCCTACCTGGGATATAAAACTGAAAGGTAACAAATGAATAAACAAGAAAAGCAAAAAAACCTCTAGACACAGACAACGTATGATGGATACTGGAGGGAAGGAGGTGGGTATTAGAGGGTAAAGGAGGTCAAAATATGGTGATGGAAGAAGAGTTTACTTTGGGTGAGAGGTACACTATGCACACACAGATCCTGTATCATAGAAATGTACACTTGAAACTTATATAGGGGTGTCCCAAAAAATTGTATACACACTTTGAATAATTCTAAAGGCAGTGTTTATTAAAATACATTTCATTTTCAAATGTATTTTGAGCTATCAAAAAAAAAAAAAAAAAGAAAGAAAATCGAGGTATCACCTGTTAAAGTGTATATACATTTTGGGGGGACACCTGACATAATCTTATTAACTAATATCACTCCAATAAAATTAATTAAAAAGAAAAAACTGGTATTGGTAAAGGCACTGTGAAATGGGTGCAAATGGGGACAATTTTTCTGGAGGATAATTTTAAAATATTTATTCATAGATTTAAAATTATTAACACGCTGAAGATTCAGTAATCACATTTCTAGGAATTTATTTTAGAGAGATAAGAAAGATGCATAAAGGTTCGTATTTAAGGAAGTTCACCTCAGTGTATTGCTTTTAATATTGGAAAACTGGAAACAACTTAGATATCCAAAAATGGGGCAGGTTTATATCAACATAAAAATGCCCAAATGTTTATAATATTTAACAATCAACACATTTATGAGCATTTTCTCGGGTTAAGTACAATAGTCAGTGCATAAATCAATTTTTCACAGTATGATTCTGATTTTGTAAAACTACGTGTCAGAATGAGACCTTAAAATAGTCACTGCTCTTACCTTTCTCCTGCCATTTCTTTTCCTGCTGCTTGTTCCTCACGACTTGGGCATCAGTGGGGTCTTTCTAATAGTCACCGCCGCCAGGGTAGGGTGATTCCTGTGGAAGTGCAGAGAGAATGATTCAAGTCAATGCTTAGCTTATGCAATTGCAATTAGACTTTTGTGGTGGAGGCAATTGACAGAGGAGACCTTGGGCCTCCTAGATGGGGTGGCAGAAGGATGCAGAATTTGCAGAGAGCAGGGAGAACTCAGATATCCCAACTGGTGCCATCAGAGGGAGGATGGTGGTCGGGAACAAGACAGGACCATGCACATTTCACTGGATGCCCACCATGGACGAGTGGCCACTCTCTTTTATGCTATGATACCATCCAAGCCCCCGAAACTCAGATACCATCTATATTCATATCAATATTTTATGCAAATATTTAGGAAAAACACTAAAAAGGAAACAAGAAAATTAGGAGTAAACATCATTGTGGGGCTATAGATGATTTTTATTTTCTTATATTTAATCATTTTGTATTTTTCAGAAATTCCACAGTAAACAGGTATGAAATTTATAATGTAAATAATATAATTAGCATTAAAATACAGCATCAAAGGCTAATGTCATCCTGAAAACAATATATTTTTATTGACTTCAGAAATGAAGGGAGAGGAAGAGAGAGAGGAACATCAATGATGAGAGAGAATCATTGATCAGCTGCCTCCTGCACACCCCACAACCTGGGCAGGGCCCTGACTGGGAATCGAACCGTGACCTCCTGGTTCATAGGTCAACGCTCAACCACTGAGCCATGTCAACCAGGACTGAAAACAATATTTTTAACTCATAATACAGGCAAATATTTTACCTTCTATTTCATAAAGGATTCCTGTCAATCAAAGAAAAAGACCAACAACCCAATAGAAAACCGGACAATAGGAAAGATGATCCACAGAAAAGGGAGCATAAATGGCATTTAAGCATATGAAATAGTGTTTAATTTTATTCGCAAAAACAGAAATGCAAATGAAAACATTGCAAGATCCTATCTTTTTCCTTTCAGATTGTCAAGGTCCAACTCTGATGACACTGCAGGTAAAGCATGAAGAGACAGAACTCTCGCCCTTTGCCGAGCTGTGCGTAAACTGGTACAACCTTTATGAAGGGTGGCCTGGCAACATCCATCAAAATTACAAATACAAAAACTCATTGACTCAGCAATTTCTATCCCAAGAATTGATGGGAGGGATACATCAAGACATGCTAAGTTATATCATAGTAAATATTTAAAGTAATAAAGTTTATAATAGCACAAAATTGGAAATTAGAAACAAATGTCTTTCAATAGAGAATTGGTTAAATAAATGATTGGCACAATAGAATACTATAAAAAACTTTATGTACTGATGTGGAATGATTAAGATATCTTGTTAAGAGGAAAAAAGAGTTAAGAACAGGGTGCATATTTCACTACCATTTGTGTAATGAACTATGTATAAAAATATGTATTATATGTACATCTAACTATCTCTTTTTGTATGTAAATAATAGCTAATATTTATCAAGCAATATGTGGCCAATCACTGTTCTAAGGTTCAAAGTGCTGTATTTGCATATACAATAACCCATCTAACCTTCACAGCAACCCTATGAGATTGGTGCTATTATCATCACAATTTCCACATTCTAGATGAGTGAGTTCAGGTGCGGGGGTTAGAGGGACAGAGGGAAGGTGGGTGAGAGGCAGGCCTGGCGGGACACAGGAAGAGAAGGACGACTGTTCACTGCATTCCTTTTGCATGTTTACCATGTGAATGCATCGCCTATTATTACAAAAGAATGAAAAGAATGCATCTGCTGTGACGGTCGCTGTGTTACTTACCCAGAGGTGTGCATGTGTGGGAGTGGAGTGGGGGAGGAACGCAGGACCAGGAAACAGCCTTCATCACGAAGTCTATCACGAATGTGTCCTGCCTGTGCCCTGCTATCGTCTTCTGTATAGAAAAGTGCCTGCGGGTGATGGTCATGGCGGCATTAAGTTATATCAGTGTTTCCTCGCCTGTCGATAATCTGAAACTTTCAAATATATAGCTTCGCAAGCTCCCACAAGCACATGTTCTGATTTAACAGAACTGGGTGCAGGTTGAAATCTGTCTTTTTCAGAAGTCCCCACCCTCACCTAGGCAATTCTGATTGTAAAACATGGTTTAGAAACCCTGGACCACGTGATCTTTTGGGGTTCCTCCCAGTTCTAACATTCCACATCCCATGACGTACTGAGGGTCACATCAGATCCAACTAGCCCATCCTTTCTCGCCATCTCCATTCCCCCCACCTCCTGGTTTTCAGTACTTCTAGCCCTTTCTAGGAGCTGCCTTACCTGCAGGCTCATCTGAAAAAGGAAAGGAGATTGAAAAGGAGGGACTGTGTCCCTTGATTCAGATCTCCACACCCACCACCACCTTCCATCCCCACCTCCCACTCCGGTGCTGCCTCCCAGAGGGCCGAGCCCATAGATTCCAGAGTTGCTATTATCATTCCAAGAGGATGACAAGGTACCGAAGCCCAAACGGAGACAGGAAATTTGATCCTTCGCAGAGTTTACACGGGGACTTGCATCTCCTGTGGATTCTAGTCTTCCTATGGCGTTTTATTGACTGATGGTACTCTGGGTATTTGGTATGCTTATCTCTCATTCTGACAGATGGTCTTAAAAAAGTGCACAACGTTCCCATTTTAATGTGGTGTCTTGGATGTTCAATGATCTCCTCTTTTCCTCCCTCCCTTCCTCCCTTCCTCTCCTCCCTCCCTTCCTTCTCCTCTATCTCTTCTTCCTTCATCTCTTCCTCCTCCTCCATCTCCTTCTTTTCCATCTCTTCCTCCTCATCATCTTTTCCAGTTCTTCTTCCTCCTCCTCCTCCTTCTCCAGCTCCTTCTTCTGCATCTCTTCTTCCTTCTTTTCCTCCTCCTCCTTTTCCTCTTCCTCCATCTCCTCCTTCCTCTTCCCCCATCTCTGCCTTCTTTTCCTCCTTTGTCTCTCCCTCCTTCTCCTCCTCTTCCCCCGTCTCCTCCTCCTCTTCCCCTGTCTCCTCCTCCTCTTCCTATCAAGGGAAGTCCTAGGCCGGGTGTTGCAGGCTCTGCCCACTGCTCTTTCAGCCCATTTGGAGAGAAGGCTGAGTGTTTGGTTCATCGCACAGCCCAGAGAAACATGGTCCCCCTGCCTTTCGCAGTTTTATGATGAGTCTCTCTCCGTCTCATAGGGCAGTTATTACTCATGATTGCTGGTCACTGATGAAGCCCAAACAAACGTGAGGCACACTCCACATACCACACACAGAGACACACACACAAATATTTGCCTTGCTCGCACGGCTAGGATGAAGATGCCCTTTCCAGCTGGCAGGAGCCACATGGCCAGACCTCCTCAGTGGCCTCTGAGCTGCTTTGACGATTTTCTTCTTCCGGGATTAGCATCCATGGCAAAGAAGTTGGCTGCCCGCTTGCCATAGAAGACATGGAAGAGGAACCCCCTGCCAGAGCCAGATCCGGGGGTCTTCCCCTTCCTGGCTCCAGCCCTGGCTCACGGTGGCTGGCCCCAGTTTGGCCTGATGACAGGGCTTTCCGAAGGTGTATTTTTACCCTCTGGACAAATAGCCTGTTGGGAGGAGTGGGGCCTTTTTATGAGTTGAGGTACTCAGGGCTGGAAAATAAACAGGCAGCTAATGAGACCTTCTGGACACGGGCATAAATAATAACAAAGGAAACATCTGGCCCTCGGGCCCACACCCCGGCGGAGGGGATATAAAAGCTGCCGTCCAGCAGGTGACCGGTCAGACCTGGGGAACTCCGGCTGCGGTCCTGACCTGCGCCCTGACCAGCGGGGACCATGGGGTGCTGCCCGGGGGACTGCTTCACCTGCTGCGGTGAGGAGCAGGACTGCTGCGAGATGTGCTGCTGCCAGCCCGGCTGCTGCGGCTGCTGCGGGTCCTGCTGCGGCTGCGGGGGCTCGGGCTGCGGAGGCGGCTGCTGCGGGTCCTCCTGCTGCGGCGGGTCCGGCTGCTGCGGAGGCGGCGGCTCTGGCTGCGGCGGCGGCTCCGGCTGCGGGGGCGGCTGCTGCGGGTCCTCCTGCTGCGGGTCCAGCTGCTGCGGCTCCTCGGGGTGCTGCGGCCCCGTGTGCTGCCAGCCCACGCCCGTCTGCGACACGAAATGAAGAGCTCCCCGTGCCCCCTCCACGGAGGCAGCCCCACGGAATGCGTCCACCCATCTGCTCCGGGCGAGGCCCCTCGTCTCCAGGACCTTCCAGGACAGTGTCTCGCCTCCCGTGGTGGTATTTGTAGGGGAGGCTTGTTTCTCCGGCGCCCGGCCTGGCCTTTCAAGGCCCTGAGAGCTAGAGCCACGTGCTGGTGAGGAATTGAAACTGGGTGCCACCCAAAGCGACCCCCGAAGCTGAAAGGGGGCATCCCCGCGGCTGGCTTGACATTCACGAAGTTACGTGGTCACCGTGAGCATCCTCTCATTCAAGGTGCCCCTGGGACTGACCCCTCCTCGTCAGCTTTCGGAGGCGTTTGAGACGCACAGATTCCTCTCTGTTAACTTCTTAATAAATGCGAGCACGCTGGCATAACCACACTAGTTCTGCCGCCTCTTCCTTCGCCCCGTCTTGGGCACTGGGCCAGAAAAATGCGTTCTGGCGTCCACAATAGGCGCTTCTGACAAGCAGTTCGTGGATCGCCTACATCAGAACCCCCAGGGGTAGTTAAGGGGAGCCCTCCCTGAGCCAGGCAGAATCAGCATTCGGAGGCCGGGGGCCTGGAAGCCTGTGTTTCTCACAAGGACTCCAGGTATTCTTATCACGGAGGCCTGAGAACCACACGTGCAGACTGAAGTTCTACGTGAGATGTGAGCTTCACTTGGGGAGGCTTTTAAACGAACAGGTCCTTGGGCTTTGCTGCTAGAGGTTTTATCCATTAGCCCGAGGGTGGAGGCCCTGGGAGCTGCATTTTTATTTTTAAAAATAGATTTTTATTGATTTCAGAGAGGAAGGGAAAGGGAGAGATAGAACATCAATGATGAGAGAGAATTGGTTGGCTGCCTCCTGCACGACCCCTACTGGGGACTGAGCCTGCAACCCAGGCATGTGCCCTGACCTGGCATTGAGCGGTGACCTCCTGATTCTCTGAGCCACCCCGGCTGGCTGGGGCCTGCATTTTTAAAAGCTCCCAGGTAAATGCTGATGCTGGCCAAGTTTAACCTGAGTGAGGTGCTTGGCTGCCTCCTGTGTTGTAGTTCTAGAATGGTTCTGCCGGAGGCTTCGGGTTTGGTCAGAACTTTCTAGCAAAGTCAGGGGAGAAGGCTTGATAAGACAAGCTTGGTTCTAAATGGAAGGGATTCCTGTAGCAAAATTTTGACAACACACAGGTTCTAAGGATGTTCTGGGTAGTTCAGGTCCTTCTTCCAGCCTTATGCTTCGGCAAAGTCTCCCTTTTCTGGGTTAGGTTTTCATGTCCGGATACCAGCTGCTTTCCTTCTGCTGAAGATCCAGGAAGGGGAAGGGTGAGCACCTGTCTGCTAAATGGAGCCTGACCCAGCTATGTGTGGGTTTGGCTGGAAGGTTAAAATTCAAGAAGTAGTTGATTCAACCTCTTGCTGAATATGACCTTGAGTTGCTACATGTGGAATAAAATTGATTCTGCTCTTGTACTGGGAGAACAATACTTATTTTTATTCCTACAAAGCAATGCTTTATTCAATAAACAAAAATATTTTCTGATTATAAGCATAGCAATGATTCTTAAAAATATAGAAAAAATATAGAAAAATATAAAGAAGACATAATAGCCACTCAAATTCTCACCACTCAGGCTTTATTACTAATACTAGAGGCCCGGTGCACGAAATTTGTGCACGGGAGGGGGGGTTCCTCAGCCCAGCCTGCACCCTCTCACAATCCGGGATTCCTCGGGGGATGTACACCTGCCGGTTTAGGCCTGATCCTGGCCTGTCAGACATTCCTCTCTCAACCCGGGACCACTGGCTCCTAACTGCTCACCTGCCTGCCTGCGTAATTGCCCCTAACCCCTCTACCTGCCTGCCTGATTGCCCCTAACTACTCGCCTGCCTGCCTGATCACCCCTAACTGCTTGCCTGCCTGCCTGATCATCCCTAACCATCTCTGCCTGCCTTCTTGACCACCCCTAACTGCTCGCCTGCCTGCCTGATCGCCCCTAACTGCTCGTCTGCCTGCCTGATTGCCCCTAACCGCCTCTGCCTTGGCCCCGCACCCAGGACCCAGGCTTCCCTCCACCTGGCTGGCCACAGGCACCCGGGACCCCAGGAGGCACCGCCCGAGCCCTTGGCTTTGTCAGGAAGGATGTCCGGAAGATAACCAGTCTATCCCGTCTAATTAGCATATTACCCTTTTATTAGCATAGATGTATCTTTCCAGACTCCTTTCTAAGGATTTTTACAATAAAACTAGGATTATGCTGGTTTTGCTTTTAAATTTTTTTGTCTCATTTTTTATAAGCTAACTTGGAGATATAATTTACATGTAATAAATTACTCCCATTTTAGTGTAGTTTGATGAGATTTGGACAATTGTATATATTTAACCACTATGGCACTCAAGATCTAGAATTTTCCATCATCCCTCAAATTCCCCAGTGTCCTTTTGCAGGTAGTGTCCCCTCGACCTGACCCCAATATCAGACAACCATTGATCTGCTTTATGTCACTATAAATTTCACCATCTCTAGAATTTCATATAAATGAAATCATTTGTTGTGAACGTTTTCACTTAGAATAACATTTTATATATATTTTATTGATTTTTTACAGAGAGGAAGGGAGCGAGACAGAGAGCCAGAAACATAGATGAGAGAGAAACATCGATCAGCTGCCTCCTGCACACCTCCCACTGGGGATGTGCCCGCAACCCAGGCACATGCCCTTGACCAGAATCGAACCTGGGACCCTTCAGTCCTCAGGCCAACGCTCTATCCACTGAGCCAAACCGGTTTCGGCAGAATAACATTTTTAAATATTTATTCATGTTGCTGTAGCTCTCAATAGCTCATTCCTTTTTATTGAATGAATAAACTACATTGTATAAATA